GTGCTGGGATTTGAACCTGGGTCTTCTGCAAGAACAACCAGTGTTCTTAACTGCTGAGCCATCTCTCCAGCCCCCACAATCAAAGAATTTGTATTTTGGTCTTTTTGAGACAAGGTCTCCCTGTAGCCCCAGCTGGCCTGGATTCGCTAATGAAGACCAGGCTGGCCTCAAACTCACAGAGATCCACTTGCTTCTGCCTCTGAGTGCTGGGATTAAAGGTGTGTGCCACCACACCTGGCCAATCAAAGAATTTTTAACTTTGAAGAAAATTTTTTTAACTTCAATAATCAGTATTATATACATGTATACAAGGAAGAGATTAATGTAGGATTATAGTTGCTACTATATATGCTTATTTACTCATTCATTTATTCATTGCAATGTTGAAGTCAAATCTATACCTTGGAGTATGTGAGGCAAGCAATCTGTCACTCACCTATATCCCCAGACCCCACATTCTACCAACATAAGGTGTGTATTACAATTATCTTTCCAGTATTTTACCTCACTATAGAATCAAATGATAGTTGTTTTTTTAGCTTTCTTTAAACTGTTGCTCCTTAGGAATGGGATCTGAAAACCATGGCCTAAGGGCCATTAACCATTTTGCAAATGTTTTCTTTAGCCACAGCCATACACATTTGCTTGCTTAATGCTTTCTTGTTACAAAGTCAAAGCCAATTGCCAAGTAGTTGTGGTAGACAAACTGTGGGGCCTTCAAGCCTAAACTGTGTCTTGTGGTCTTGACCTCTCCTTGGGAATTCCCCCTTTCCTGAGGCCCTTATGACCCTTATCCCCTCAGTTCTACTTCCACATTTTACCCTTCCTATTTCATGTTTTATCTTGTTCCTTACCTGCTGCTTCCTAATACCTCACTAGGCTTATATAATCTGAAACACTTATTACAATCTAATTATCTCCTTTGTTTTCCTTGTTTGTTGCCCACGTCCTTAAGCGCCATGATTGGAGGAATCTTTTCTTATATGAAGAGAAATTCAGTGGGTACTGAATTACATGAGTGGATGATTAGGGCTCTTGCTCTCACTAATGCAAACTTTTGTAGCAGTGGTAGACTGGCGTTTCTTTTTTTTGCCTCTCCTGTCTGATTTGTCTAATGTATACCTAGGCTTGTCAGATCAATTTCATCAAAACATACTTAGTTCCCAGTATTAAAACCTTCAGCAACCCCTGCCAGTTGTTCACGGAATCAAATTTAGTCCTGTTAATGCAATCTTAGCCTTTCTATGCATATACTTCATGCTCAGTTTCAATGGCTTACGTTTCATCCAACTAGCCAACTTGCTTATTTCTAAAAATGCCTTGTGAGTTTTGCTTGGGTACTTTTACTTAGGTTCTTCTCAGTGACAATGTCTTGCCCATTCTTTATGGCTTAGTGCTTTTTCTTCTTCTCTACCCTACTCTGGTAGACATTTTTCCAAGTCTTATGTTCAGTCTAGCTCTGCTTCTCTTTCTTTCCACTCCACTTCTTCCTCCTCCCCTTTTTTTTCATGTTAAATTAAAAAAATATTTTATTTATGAGTGTCATGTATGTGCAGTGCCGGTGGAGGTCAGAAGAGGATGTCAGATCCCTAGGAACTGAATTTACAGATAGGTGTTACCAGCCTCACCATTTTTTTTTTTTTTGTGACAGGGTCTTTTTGCATGTCTCAGACTAGCCTTGAATTTGTAAATCTCGTGCCTCAGCCCGTTGTCTCAGCACTGGGATTATAGGCATAGGCCACCATCCTTACTCTCACCTCTTCCTTTTTAAAAATAGTGTTACTGGCTGGGCATGGTGGTGCAGGCCTTTCATCTCAGTAGGCAGAAGACAGAGGCAGGTGGACCTCTGAAATGGAGGCCAGCCTTGTCTTCATAGCTAGTTCCTGGCCAGCTGGACTACAGGAAACCCTGTCTCAAAAACAAAAACAAGGGACTGAAGAGATGGCTCAGTGCTTAAGAGCACTGGCTGCTCTTGCAGAACCTGGTTCAATTCCGGGCACCCACATGGCGACTAACAACCATCTGTAACTCCAGTTCCAGGGAAATCTGACATCACCTTCTGACCTTCATGTCACAGGTACACTTACACACATGCAGGCAATGCACTCATACGCATTTAAAAAAAAAACAAACAAACCAAAAAACCAAAAAAAAAAAACAAACCCCAAACCCAAAAAACAAAACGAAACAAAAATAGTGTTATTGTATCTACTTGCATTTATTATTTTTATTTTATGTGTATGAATGTATTGCCCGCATATGTGTTAAGTGCACCCATGTCATGCAGTGTTTGTGGAGGCAAGAAGAGGGCATTGTATTCCCCTGGAACTGAGTTACAGTCGGTTGATAACTGCCATGTGGGTGCTGGGAACCAAAGCCAGGTCCTCTACAAGAGTAGCCAGTGGTCTTAAAGCCAAGCCATCTCTTCAGCCCTGCATTTTTTTTCCAAGATAGCATCTCTCTGTAGCCCCAGCTGCCTGAAACTCATTATGTAGATCAGCCTGGCCTCACTGTCACAGAGATCCGCCTGTCTCTGCCTTCGAAGTGCTGGAATTAAAAGCATGTGCCACCACATCTGGCTTATCTACTTGCATTCTTAAAAAGCCTATTTAACTTTAATTGCTTTTAACTTGACAAAGATATTCTCTGGTGTATGATTCTTTGCTTTATCAACATAATATTGCTATTTATGTTGTAGTCTTATTTATTGCTGTGCAACTTTAATTGCTTTTAACTTGACAAAGATATTCTCTGGTGTATGATTCTTTGACTTTGCTTTATCAACATAATATTGCTATTTATGTTGTATTCTTATTTATTGCTGTGTGACAAATTACTTCCAACTTGGTATGTTTACATCAGCACACAGATGATCTCACAGTTTTTGTGTGTCAGAAATCTGGGTACAGCTTAAATGGATCCTCTTAAGTGCCTCTCAGGAGGCTACAGCCCCCTCAAGGGTCACCTGACAGATATCTGCTTCCAAGATCATGTGCTGCTTTTTGGCAGAATTAAACTTCACACAGGCTGTTAGAGGGATTCTCTTCTAGCTGTTGCCAGAGGTCTCCCTCAGTTTCTTGAAAGGTGGCTGTCTCCATTGTGCAAGGAGAGCCACTAAAAAAATATAAGCAAGATAAAAGCTATTGTCTATTTGTAACCAAATTATGGAGGAAGCACACTATTATTGTTTCTCTTCATTAGAAGCAAGTTACTATGTGCAGCCCACAAGAAGGTAAAGGGATTACACAGAGGCATGGATATCTACAGGTAAGGTGGGTACAGCAAGCCATAGCAGAAGCTGCTTGTTAAACCACTGTAATTTGTTCCATTCAACTGCCGTATACCATTTTGTGTGACTTTACCACAGTGTGTTCTATTGTTCTAGGATATGGTTTTCCCCTTAAGGACTTGGCTGTTGTGAGTAGACAGTGATGTCATTAACATTGTATATGAGGGGACCATAGTACTCTTCTCTGAGTCATTCCTAATTTGGTATGCATTCTGTCAGAGTGAACACTGTTAAGACTTCCTTGATAAATATTACTATAATTAATTTTGTTTTTTCTACACTCCTATAGCATTTCATAAGTTATGATACTTAACCATTTGTCACTTTTTATTACATATCTCTTGTTCACTGCGTATTTTCTCCTGTGAAATAGTACATTGTTGAGAGCAGGAGATAAACTTGTCATTTCTAAGCTGAGTGTGGTGATGCACACCTGTAGTCTCAGCACTGGGAATGTGGAGACAGGAGGATCACTACAAGTTCAAGGACAGTCTGGCTTACATAGCAAGTTTCAGGCCAGCCAAGGCTACATAGCAAGACTCTGTCTCAAAGAAAACAAAATAAATTTGTGATGTTTGTGATTTACATAGACATCTCCCTAACCACCTATTACTAAGTTTTCAATAAGTCTTAGTAAATTGGTTCTGTTTAAATGGTAATGCCTAATTTAAGTCTTTATAATTTGGCTCTAATAATCCAACTGTATTTCCCAATTCTTTCCCATCAGAATCCTATTTAGGCAGGTGAGTCTCTTTAACATTCTTTCTCTTTTGACCGTTTCCTAATGAGTTTAGCTCACTTTGATCTCTCTCTTCTGTTCCTATTGAATATACTGTTTATATTATACATTTAACATTTTATCATATACTTAGGTCACATGTTTCCTCATAGATATCTAAGTAGTTTATTTTATTTACTTCTAATTATTTTCAAGTAATTATTTTCATTTCATCTATATTGCCAGTGGAACAATCGCATAATCAAATAAATAAATAAATAAATACTGATATGCTTGAATTATTTTTTATTTGGTCTTAGGTATTTTTGGATTTAATGGAGCCAGAAAGAAGTCCAGAATCAGAGAGTTCAGAAAAATCATTATTTTCTTCACAGCAAGATGAAGAATACCAAGAAGCAGATGAAATAGGTGTGGAGAACCCTCTCTTACAGCCTGCTCTCACAGGGGATGTTGAAGCCTTGCAGAAGATTTTTGAGTTTCCCGAAGACCCTCATCATGAACATGCCGTGCAGCTCCTCTTGGAAGAAGACATTCTTGGGAGAAATTTGTTGTATGCAGCTTGCATGGCGGGGCAAAGTGACGTCATTAGAGCTTTGGCAAAGTATGGGGTGAATCTGAATGAGAAAACCGCCAGAGGTATTTTATCTCATATGAATATTACTTATAACTACCTGAAGATATGATGTACCCTTTTTGTTATTGGATAAATTTGGTGCACTTGCTTTATGTTTACACACATATGTATGAATGTACGCATGGTGTGTCCATGTAAATATATTAGTTACCTAATATTTTGTTTCTTCAGCTGGAAAACAAGGATCATAATTTTATTATTATTATTATTATTATTATTATTATTATTATTGGTCCTTTTGAGACAGGGTGTCCCTGTAGCCCCAACTGACTTGGAACTCACTATGTGGACCAGGCTGGCCTTGAACTCACAGAGATCCACCTGCCTCTGCCTTCCGAGTGCTGGGACTAAAGGTTTGTGCTACCACACCCGGCTAAGGATCATATTTTTTTTTCCTTATAGGGTATTATGAGTACCAAATAAGATAGTAAATATAAGTGTCATGGTGCATGGCACATAGTAAGTTGGCACATGGCAAATCCTCAAGGACATTGCTGTTATCTCTTTCCTTTGATGACCTGTACTAAGCAAATCATTGTCCAATTAGCTCTTTTATTTCAATAATTTGCTTTTTTTCGGATGAAAATATAATACGTGGTCATGATGGAAAATAAAGCAGCCATTTGTAGAAAATAAGGAATATACATTCTCTTCACATGCACATGGAACATTTAAAAAAAATGGACCATATGTTGAGCAAGAAAAGAAGCCTCATGAATATCAAATAATCTCAGCATGCAGTCTTCAGCCTCTGGCCACAGTAAGATAACGTTAGAATATAGTAATGAAAAGGCATTGAAAATCCTCTGCAATTTTGAAAACAAAACCACACTTTAAGTCATCTGTTGATACCAGAAGATACAACTATAGGATGTTTAGGTGGCAACAGGGTCATTGTGTGTTGTATGGGAATTTGTGAGTTACAACCAAAATTAAAATACTAATTAAATGCATTTATAAGGCTACAAGACACCTTTAAAATCAATAAACAAAGCATTTAACTCAGGAGTTAGAGAAAGAACGACTGAATTTGGAGGCAAGCAAATTAAACAGTAGCTTGAGCGTGTTGGGAATGAAGAAACCGCAGAGAGATTGACAAACTAGCTCTGGTGAAAAAGACAGCTGAAGAATCTCTGGCCAACACCACTCAGAGAGAGACAGAAATTTAAAAAGTTATTGGAGAGTAGACTTTTAAGTGTTCTCACCACAAAAAGATAAATGTGCATGTTAATAGGCTCAATTTAGCCATTGTATAGTATGTAAAAATTTCAAAGCATGTTGTACAATAAATATAGCTAACTTAATTTTTATTTTTAATTCAAATAAAGTTAAATTAACTTTCACCACACCCAACTAACTGGACTAGATGTGTTTATCCCATGAATGAAAAGTTGGTTATAATGTTAGGAAAAAATATTACAATTCATTACACTAAAAGATTAAGTAAGCAGGGTTGGGGATGTACTCAGTTGGTAGATTGTTCATCTAACATGCATGAAGCCCTAGGTTTGACCTGTAGAGCTGCAAAAAGTGAGTGTGGTGGTGCAATTCCATAATTCCAGGATTCTGGAGGTAAAAAGAGAAGGATCATAAATTCAAGATCATCATTGGTGTTAGATACTTAGGGAGTTAGAGGCCAGTCTAGATTATATGAGACCTTGTCTAAAAAATTATTATGCAGCTAGAGAGCTGGTTCAGTGGTTAAAAGCACTGACTGCCCTTGCAGAGGACCTGGGTTTGATTCCCAGCACCTACATGGTGACTGTCCATAACTTCAGTTCCAGGGCAATGTGATACCCTTTTCTGACCCCTAAAGGTATTGTATGACATGGGTGCACTTATATATATGCAGGCAATACACTCGTGCACATAAAATAAAAATAATAAATAAAATATTAAAAAACATTAAGCAAAATATGATAATGCCAATAGATGTAGAAAAGTCATTTGAAAAAGATGGGGCACTCATTCATTATGGAAAGTTTTAGGGAAATAGAAATATAAGACACCTTTTTAAAGGCTGTCTATCAAAAATCAGAGGCTTTAAATTATTCTCATGGCTTCCATTCAACATTTAATTTATTTTTTAATGTATATTTTATTGTTTTTGTGCATTTCACATAATAGATCTTAATCAAATTTAGATCCTCTCTCCCATCTGAACCCCATAGATCCCCCCACAGGTTTTTTGCATTCTGTCATGTATGTTAAGTCCTATCCAGTCAAGCATTTGTACCTAGATGTCCCTCAGTGTAAGTTCATCCACTGGGTCTAGTCAGCCTATCTGGAGTCACTTCCTTAAAGAAGATGTACTCTCTCTCACCTGCAGTAATCAGTTGTTAATAGTTTCTTGTCTAAAGATGGGCCTGCTGCCCATTTCTCAGTTCTATGCTGGATTTTTATCTGATGGAGTTGGCATGGCTCTTGTGCATTCTGTCACCATTGTTGCAAGTTCATATGAGCAAGTTCCCAGAGGCCCAAAAGCCTCTGTTTTCTTGTGCTCATACACCAACCCTATATTTTTGTCTCATTTTTATTATTTCTGTTATGATCTTTATTATTTCTTGATTTTAATTGAAGTAGAATAATACTAGAATTATTGAAAGAATATTAATGAACCACATTTTCTTCTTTTGGGTTTGGTTTATTCTTGTATGTTCTAGTTTCTTAATATAGGCATCATTGTCATGAGCTTACCTCTTAGTACTGCTTTTGCTGTATTCATAGGTTGTGCTATGTGGTATTAGTCAGTTTTCTGTCTCTGTGACAAAATGCCAGATTTAAAAGTTTAAAGGGGGAAAGTTTACTTTAGATCACAGTTTCAGAAGTTTCATGGTCACTTGGCTTTACTGCTTTGGGCCTGTTGTAGGGAACAAAGGGTAGAGCTGAGTGGATTACTTAATGACTAAGAAGTAAAGAGAAGAGGCTGGGTTCCCAACATCCCCCTCGAGGGCCCACTTTCCTTTGATATAACTTCCTTCTTAAAGTTTCTACTACCTTCCAATAACTCCTTCAACTGGGGACCATGACCTCACCATATAAACCTTTGCTAGAGCAAGGTTTAGTATCCAAAATGCTGTGTTACCATTTCTGTTTGATTCAAGAAGTAGTTGGCTTTCTCTTTTAATTTCTTCATTGAGGTATTGGTTATTTAGAAACACGTTGATGTTTCTCTGCATTTTGGCTAAGGTAAAGTGCAGAAACAAGTTGTTTTCATTATATGTATTTGTACAATGTTCATATTCCTCTTATGTGATTAAATTTTTTCTAGCTTTATTCCGTTGTGGTCAGAGCAGATGCATGATATGATTTTGGTTTTTCACATTATGTTGAGACTTGTCTTATGGCCTATTTTGGCTAGCATTCCAAGTGGTGATGAGAAAAAAAATGTGTACTATATTGCTATCAGATGAACTGTTTTATAAATGTGTTAGGCCCATTTGAGCTACAGTATAGTTGAACTATAAGGCTTCTTTGTTGTTTTCTGTCTGAGTAGTCTGCCCATTGATGAAAGTGGGTACTGAAGTCCACATTATTATTATAGTAAGGTAATCTCTCCTTCATTTATTATTTATTTTTGCATTAAAATAACTTTATTGGTGAATGAGAGACAGAGAGATATAAGGAGTCACTATAGCCTGTGCCCAGCCGCATCAGGAGGAATAGGCCCCTTTCTCTCCTCTACCTTCATAATGGATCTCCTAGGAGAGTATGTGTAAACTTTGGATTTGGGGAAGGGGAGACAGTGGATATGAAGTGATAGCAATGCTATTTGGCACTGGATGATTTATGAAGATCTAGGAGGAGAGAAGAAAGGTGTGGACGTTGCTTAACTTCTGCACTGAGGTGGCTGCAACTTCACAATGTGGAAATCATCATACAGGACTTCCATTTAGTCCAAGTATGTGGCCCAAATTTTGTGGCAGGCTTTATACATCCTGAAAAGTTTTTGGGGGTCAGAGAGGACAGGGTGATTAATGGAATTGTGCATTTGTACCTGGACAGCTTATATATCCATCATTTGGTCTTCTACAAAGACATGAACTCAGCAGTACACAATGCAGATGAAAGTTGTCTTCTCAGGGTCCTTGAACTACTTTGTTGATGGAATGGATAGCAGAACCATCTTCTCTAGCTTGGAGAAGAGTTGACCTGTGTTCATCTGGCCTGGCATGTTTCATATCCATGATATGGAGGGATTAATCTGCTTCTTGATCTTTATCGGGTGGCCTAGTCCCCACTTGACAATGGTGGAGATGTTGAGCAGCCACAGCATGATGTGGTCCACAGATGCTGTGCCAAAAGCCATCAAGGAGAAAGAAGTTAATGGTCCTAACCAACCTCATGCCTTACATAGCTCAACACTTCATGATGCTAGGGAAGGCACTCATGTCTATACTCAATGTTTTCCTTGAAGAACTGGTTGGGAAACTCTGCTACATTAGACTATGGTCAATACCCATTGGAAAGCTGTTGGTAAAGCCTTTGACCTGGGTAGGCATAGTGAGGAATTTCTGGTCAAAAACATCTAGATGTGGGCCAGGCTATGGACCCTCATATTCCTTGGATAGCTAGACCATAAGGCTATAGCTGTAGGTGGTCTGCTCATGCCACTCTTAGCCCTGATGAAGATCTACTTGAGGCTGCACCGCTTGATGATATTATTAAGTGTGGGCTCTTCATCAGGCATGTGCTCAAACTGTTCTCTCTCTCCAAAATAAATAGTATTTGCTTCATATGTTTAGATAATTTCTGTTGGTTACAAATACATTTCCAATTCTTATATCTTTTTGCTGAATTGATCATTTTATTATGTAATGACCTTCTTTGTCTCTTTTTACAGTGTTTGGCTTAAAGTCTTGCTGCACTTTGGTAATTGTCTCCTGAAGGCTCATATGCTAAATTTAGGCTTGATCCCCAGGGTGGCACTGTAGGCAGGTGGTAGAACCTTTAGGAGTTTGGGCCTGTTGGGAGGCACTTTGGTTATTTGTGTGTGTTCTCA